GCCATGGTCATTCCAATTACTTGCTATGCATCTGAAAGCTGGATGATGAATAAGGATAACAGATGAAGAATTGATGCCTTTTAGCTGTGGTAGTGGAGAAGAGCACTGAACATCTCATGGACTGCCAAGAGAACAAACAGCCATATCTTGGAGAGGGTGCAGCCTGAGTGCTCTTTGAAGGCAGGAATGATGAGGCTTTACCTCATGTACTTTGGGTATGTTGCTAGGACGCATTATTCCTTGGAGAATGACATGATGCTGGGAAGGGGGGAGGGTTGGTGAAGGAGAGGAAGACCCTCAACCAGGTGGATTGATAAGGTGACTGCTGCAATGAGCTCTTGTGTCAGGAAGTGTGAGGATGGTGTAGGATAAAAGAGGGTTCAGATCTTTTGTTAATAGGGTTGCTGTGAGTTGTAGTTGACTGGACAGCACCTAACAATGACAACAAGTTTTGACATGTAATCTTTGACCATCATATGAGACACTGCAGTATAAAATGTGAAGTCAGAATCTTTGACGTGGGAACCAGGCAAGGCACCAGTCTGTGCAAGGCCCTGGTGACAGCAATTAACAGGCTGCTCTGAGAAAGTGAAGGATTCTCCGTTCAGATGTATTCACAGACATGTATGAAGTGCAGTGGAAGAAAGAACTGTCATTGCAGCATTTTTGGACAAGGACAAGGGATAAAGAACCTGCAGGACGGGTTAGAGGACACCAGTGTCTCTGTACGAAGAGAACAGTTGTGTGTATACTTGAGAGGATGCAATCTCAAGTGTACAGTGATTTTAAGTGGAAAAAAATAATCTTTATAAAGTGAGTACAGACTATCAGTGCTTGTTTTCAAATAAAAAAATATGTACATATATCTGCATGGAACCTCTGTAGGATTTCTATAAGAAACTCGTCCCTAAAAAAAAAAAAAAGAAGTGTATAATAAATAAAGAAAAGGTTGAAGTGGCCAATGATTTAATTTTACTTAGATCCACAATCAACATCTAAGAAAGCAGCAGTCACAAACTAAAAAAAAAAAATAAAAATGTAAAGTATTGGACAAATCTGCTGTCAAGATTTCTTTAAAGTGCTGAAGAGCAAGCATGTCAGTTTAAAGACCCAGGGTACCTAACCCAAGCCAGTTGGCCTAGGAGATTAGAAGAAATTGCACTGCTAATCCATAGGTAGGCAGGTTCAAATTCATCAGCTACTGCAAGGAGAAAGATGGGTAGTCTTCTTCTGAGTGATTTATAGCCCCTGAAAAATCACTGGAGGGTCAATTATGACATGGTTTTGACTCGACACCAATGAGTTGAATTTGTTGTATCCAAGCCAAAGCATTTTCCGTTGCTTCTAATGAATGTAAAATTTGGACATTACATAAGAAAAACTAAAGAATCTATGCCTTTGGATTGTGGTTCTGATGAAGAGTACTGAATATACTACAAACTGTGGAAAGAATAAACAAATCTGTCTTGGAAGACGTGCAACCAGAGTGATCCTTAGAGGAAAGCATGGTGAGATTTCTTCTCCCATATTGTGGGCATGTTGCCAGGAGGGACTAGTTCATGCAAAAGTACATTCTGCTTAAAATAGCAGAGAGTCACTGAAGAAGAGAAGACCCTCAGTGAGATGGATTGAGGAAGTGACTGTGCAGTGGGCATAGGCATGGTGGAGGTTGTGGGGATGGAGCAGGACAAGGCTTAGACATATGCTCAATATGGGTTGTGGTCTATTCAATAGCACCAAATAACAACAACAACAACAAAAGGCATACTTTCCCAGGGAGCTCTGGTGGCCTAGTAGCAAGAAGCTGGTACTGCAATCGCAGAGGTATTGTTGTTGTTGTTATGTGCCGTCGAGTCATTTGCGACTCATAG